AAAATACTCAACTATGAGTAGATTCTGTGCATTTACCATTAAGATCCATAGCTGCTTTTGAAAACAAGGAAAACTGAAAACAATTATCATTAAAAATATAACCTATTTTTCTGGAAAATAAAACCAACCAATRGCCCAAGCCCTATCATTGTTTTTGAAAGAACTCAGCTTTTACAGCTTTGAATATAATTTGAGGGATCTAACCTCTTTCTCAGACTCTGAAAATCATCTATATTTTCATGTCCAATGGACTGCAGTGCTACATGCAGACAATTTTRCCATCATTGATTCTATGTTAACAGTTCTTGTCGGTGTATTGTCATGTAAATTTTTAAGCTGATAGGCACATGTAATTGTTTTCAAGCCGTAGTTTCTCCTTTTCSTGTTAAATTTGCAGAACCAAAATTATTTTATTATTAAGTAGGAAAAAGGCAGAATTAGGACATATATTTTGGAACTAAATAAAAGACATGTTTCATTATGTATTAAGCTATGATACTCTGTAATCCTGAAAGAGGTTGTTTAGAAAAGAAGATTCCTTTGCTGCAGTTTTTTTCCATGTGTATTTTGTAGCTCCATTGCTTAACTTAACACATTTTTTGAAGTTGTATTAGTTTTTTCAATATGTTTGAGCACTTGTTAGKAATTTATCCTCAAAAACTCAAGTATTTTTTATAAATTTTCAAGAAACAGGATAGTTGGATATTTGTGATGCCACTCTGTCTTCATCTTACCAAAAAAAATGAGTAAATGTCAAGTAATTTGTGTCAGGTGTGTGCTCCAAATGAAAGTCCATCAATCATTTTTGGCCCTTTAGTGCAATGATTATCATTTCAAAGACGCAGGAGGACATTAAAGATAATGGCTTTTCTGTTGTCTATTATCTCTAACAGACTTCACATAATTATTAGCATGTGTTCTCATTTACGAAGAGTGTCAATATTTTGAGTGAATTGCATTTTTTTAACTGAAAGGGATATGTCTGTCAGCAAGTTTTTTGTCCATCTAACTAAATGAGGAATTACAATTAATGAATTTTGTGTTTCCGCAAGAAGGGGAGATATTGCAGAAAATGTTGGAAGCTTTGCAGGGTTGCAATACAATGACTGTCTTCAGCTGTCTGCATAAGATAATAAACAGTGCTCAAACTTTAGCAAAATACTAATGTGTGCTGTTCCGAGGCACTTTCACTTTCTTTTTATATTTTGTGCTGTGCTGAGAAAAATAACTGACATGCCTTGTTTATCAMAAAGCCTTGAAGTCATGTAGGGTATAGAAATTATCCATAGAGTGAATATCTGTTTTGTGGTTTGCCTTATTTTTGCAGTTCTGATAGGAGTAACAATATTTCAATAAGTCTCTTATTACCTCATTTAATACCTCCTATTTGAACCTGATAAATTGCCATTTTTGTTTCCTTTAGAAAAAGGCTAAAAGTAGTGAGSTTTTCAAGCTAGTAAAATTGCAAATAGACTTAAAAATATAAAGTCATGGTTCATCCATGTTTAGTAAAAAACACTTAAACTTGCCTCTCCCTTGAGTAGGAGAATATGAGAGATAATGTCTAGTCTTAAGCTCTGAAATGTCATTGGTAGCTCTTGGAGTGTTTATGCAGAATGGCTTGAGGGCTGTACTTTGGCTTCTTGTGCAGGATATTCTTCCTTTGTATGAACAGGGTTTCAGCAATCGACTCACAGGTTAAGGCTGTTGATTTGCTGTAAAAGTTGGTGAGTGGGAATGGAGGGAAACTCTGTGATATACAGGACAGCTTTTTAGCTTATGGCTTTTCTCAGTAAATTTAAATATTATGGAAGGAATCCATGGACCGCCAGGAGGAAGAATTTAGCTTTTAATCACTAAAGTAAACTGAACTTCATCAGGTTTCAGCACCAGTAAGTGTCATAGACAGAATGTAGACATTTCAGTTAGACAAAACAGTAAAGTCTGTTGTATAGTATTTGATGAAATAAATTTCTGGTTWCATTAGAGGAACACCTTCTAATGGGAATGACATAATAATTTATTAATGTATTACAGCTTTGGTATATCTTCACTTTTAAATTAGATTGTAAAGATTTGAAAGGTGTAGATGAGACACTTGTGTACAGCAAATCAAGTAACTTAATAACATTAAAAAATAGTYAGGGGAAAAACCACATAAAGCAAATAATGCTGTGGATCAGTGAAGTAAACTAATTATTACCAGCAGTTACAATTTTGTCACAAAGCCAGAAGATGCTACATCCATTACAACAATACATTTATAGTCTAGAGGAGCAACAGGCAGCTGGCAAATCCCACCAGCTGGGATGGCAGCATCAGCTGGCATGAACTGGGTTTTAGTTGCTTACCTATCACTGCCAGCTATTAGCAAAACCCAATGTGCTGAGAGATGATCAGTGATTTGTCTTTTAAAAGCACAGACTGATTAGTCCAACACGGTCTTTACAAACTTTCCTTCTATTTGCCTTGTGTTTTTAGTGAATTTAAAAAGTGCTGAGTTTTTGGTCTTCTTTCTATTTGGAATTCACACCTACATGTAATTCCCTCTCAGTGACTTTGCCAAAATAAGCATCATTTGGGGAAAAATTAGTATCTTTGAAAATTGGTTCTCTGTTTTACGGAAAAATCGTTTAAGTAACACATTGATTCTAAAAATTTAAGACAGAAGTCTAATATAATGCTTAGCATTATAACTACAGATTTGAAGTATTTTTATGCTCAATTTAAGCTATTCTGTTGTCATGGTACTCCATTTTTGCTACATAACAAATAAAGTATTAGCCTTCAGTTACTTGGTTGAAACTATTTCAGGTAGTCTGCATCTAGTTTGATGCCTGGTAATTGTGACCATGTGTACATTTGTCTAAAATGCATGTGAACATACAGTCAGTTGCCATTTTAAATCATGACTCTCTCGTTTGGCTTCTAAAATTAGATAGGGTTGTCTTTAAGGGKTTTTTTCACAAATCTCTTCAGGGGGAAGTCTTGCTTAGTAATGTGAGCTAGTTTGATCATATCTGGAGAATATATTAGCACTTAAAAATACTTCAATGGAATGATTTCAAATGTTATATTGTCTACAACAGCTATAGTCTGGAAAAGTTTTGCCTCAAACTAGGCATGTCTAATGGGGTTTATGACAACCTGTGAATTTGCCCTGAACAAGGTTAACTTGGAGGTCAGTGCATGCTATACAAATTGCATACTGCTCAAACCTGTAATTATCCCTGTAAGAAGTTAATGTGCTGCAGAGTTCAGCAAATTCATGTAAAGCTTCAGAAATTACCATGATAAACTGCAGTTACTTATATTTGCTCAGAAGCATCAGTCAACAGGATATGATGCTTCCAGTGTTCATTTAAGGTAATTTGGAGCAAAATCACCTTGTCTGCTTTACTCAGTGTACTCAGGAGATAAAGAGCCTGAATTCWTTGTCATTTGAAGAAAACACTTTTCATAGAGTTACTTTCTTAATATCCATCATATGTGCTGTACATATAGGCAGAAAAACTCTCAGGATAGATTTTTTTTTTTCAAATTTTGGCAAAAAAATATACAGTATCTACTTTAACCTAAGTTTTTTTAAATTTGAGTACCTAYAGGAGGGACCTAAAATAGCTGTCAGAAGATAGCGTGTGTTCTAACTTGTTCATGTATTTTCTAATTTCAGTACTCTATAAATACAAACTAACTTACAATTTYCAGGTGAAAATATCAGTATAATTTGTTTTTTACTGTATTTGTCAAAAAATCTACTTTTGTATAGATGAGTGACTAMGTATTTTCATAGTTAAATATTTGTAAATCACAATTAAATGTAGGTAAGAAACATTTGTATGAGTTAGTATAAATTGTGTCAGTTAACTGTCTCTAATGTAAGCATCAATAAAAGTGTACCAGGAATAAGGAATAGAAATTACTCCTACCATTACATATCCGAATGTAAGTGCCACCCAAACATTAGTGGAGAATTTTAGATTAAATATTGTTCAGATACTAAGAATATAAATTTAGGGGAAACATAGATATTAATCTTGCATATGAGTTTATGTATTTAGTAGTATTTGTTCATCAGCACTATGAAGTAGGCCATCTTGTTGGATATGAACATTTTGTATTTTTGAAGAACTTGTGTCTGTATTGCATTTTGTGATGTGCTTCTGTCATATCTTCATTATGAGATAAATCAAAGTCACAAATACCAATAGCCCTGACATTGTGGGAAATTTGTTTTTTACATTTCTAACATCTGAAGGCGCTACACTGATTCCCTTCATTATAACTGATTTCAACCAACCAAAATAACATTTAAATTCCTCTTTCTACTGTTTTTCTTCTCCCGCTGGACTGAAATCAGAAAATATTACAATCTGAATGTCAGTATATTATACTATCAAAGCCTGTTACCCAAATGTGAACAAAATCCTGAAATGCCTGTGAAGTGTCAACAGTGTGGAATAAGCGTATTCAGACATGAGCAAAAGAAATATTTTCAGTAGTGTCCAGTGTTCCAGAGATAGTGTTGAGAGAGCATAAAAAGACAATTCTTCAATTCCTCTTGGTCAGGGATTGATCCTTTGCTGAAAAAATAGACCAAAACCTGTTCACACTGAAGTGTAAACTAGCAGACAAACTGAGGAACTTGTGATGTACTCAGTGTCTTTAATAGTTCTTAAATATCATTTAAAGAAGGGGGGTAATATATTCCAGAATAAACATTTGATGGCCTTTTTCTTTTCCTGCTTGACAGTATCCTAGAAGTAAGAGGTGATGTCCTTTAGCAGAGCTGGTGAGAACTCAGTCCTATGTTTATAAGTCATTTGTTAAGGTGCAGAGCACAAAGATAAAAGGTCTTACTACCAAACTTAGTAAATACAAATGTTTGATRTTTGGAGAAATACTGAATTCAGTTCACAAATTAGCTTATGTTATAAAAGTGAATGAATCCTTTGTAGAGTGTTCCCTTGATTTCTGACCATTTTGCACCTTCTTTCTAGATTATCAAATTACTGGATGGAAAACGGTCTCAAACTGTAGGAATTTTAATATCAAGTTTGCACTTGGAGATGAAGGATATTCAACAAGGTAAGTATTTCTTACACTTAATGTATTGTGCTTACATGGATATTTTGTCATAGCCCTCAGAGAATTTCTTACATTACAGAACATGTTTTGATTATAGTCCCCTAAACTACCAGAAGAATCATTCTATCAGTATATTGTACTGTATGTTAAAGTTTCTAAAAATTAGAATTGAATTTAGGCACAACTCTGTCAGTACCATTACAGTTARCGTAACACTTTCAGTACAGTGTTTTCATATTGCTTCCCTGCAGTTCCCTGCTTTTTCTGAAACAAGTCTTGGGCTTCAAACATGAAGTCAGTATTTTCTAATATTTAAATTTTGCTTCATTAACAGTATAAAAAGTACATCCCAAACTGATGTTACCACATAACAACTAGAAAAAAARTTACTGGATGGCATTTTTCAAAGCGTAGAGCTAGTCAGTGTGTAAATTCCATTACTGSTAGAAATTATTTGAGTTTGCCAGTACAACTGTAGAGAAATACAGATTTTTCAGAACCCTGGGATAACTGAGATTCTGCTTATGTTCTGGATTTAAAAAGATATTGTTTAAGGATATTGTTTATTTCTTTTTCACATTAAGAAAAGGAAAATATTCACCATTTAAAACAACTGCTGGAACAACTCAAGTTGATGTCTCCTTTTTTGCTATTGTTTTCCCTCCATCACATGCAAATACTGGGTAGGGTGTTGAGATGCTGCTGGCATTGATTATTATTAATTTCAAAAGAGYCTTTGAGCATCTAGCACTTTAAAAGCACAAGGGCTTACAGATGTCTCTTGGGATGCAGAGGAATAAGGAAAAGAAGGAATAACTTTGTGCCTGCCAGTATTGTGTGAAAGGTATCAGAATGAGATGGAAAAAAACTGCTATTACTAAAGGTCTGAATAATTTGCTGGCAGAAATTGCGGGAGCACAGGGATGGGATACAAGCTGTATTATAAAAACCGGGTAATATTCTTAAAGATCTTCAGAGATGTGTTTTATTTTTGTTTTTGATGCCATGGTGTTCTAAAATAGAACATCTCTGTCTCTCTCTCTCAGTTGTTTACTGTAGTTCTATAGCTTTTAAAGTCTTCTGGCCAATTTATACCAACTCTAAAAGAACGGAATGACCTGAATATTTTGGTATACGTACAATARCAATTTTAGCTTGAGTCAGCAGTACACTTACTTTTGAATCACACAAGTTCCCCCCTTTGCTGTGTTGGCATTGCACAGTAAGGCAGAGCAGTCTCACAGTGCACAAACGTCCTTCAGAATCAAATTAAATGAGCAGATATGCTTTAGGAGCATGCAGTCTCCTCTCCATGTACAGCAGTCTTTAAATTCCCCAGGATCAAATCAGGGATAMATTTACTGAAACATACATAGTGTTAACTGTTGCTGTCTACAAATCCATTTCTAAAGACTACACTGCTTGCAGTTGTAGACATAGCTAATGCAGTCCTACAAGTTTCATGAAAACTGGAGTGTTGGTAGAAGAAAGACACCAAAACAAGCGCTGTCAYTGAAGAAAAGTTTAGAACTCATCGCCCTTTCTTGTCTGAGGTAGGAAATGACTGGCCTGTCACCACATGTGTTGCTCAAGGCAGCAATAGGATATGCTGCCTCTTGCTTATGGGAGCAGCTAGGAGCTACCGTTAGGATTTGGGAATACTGTTGTTGTTAGTGCAACTTCTAAAAAACATACTGRCAAAGCAAGATGACTGTAATCAAAATCTGTGTTCAGAGACTATCTAGGGAAAAAAAACTAATTCACAGGACTCAGGGAAAAYAGGTTAAATCTGTAGAGAGGACCTTTAGAAATGTGTATTACTCTGAAGAGAACAGTAAAATTATGCTTGTTTCTCTTTTAATGTGTGTTAATTCCATAGTATTTCATGACATTTAAATCTGTGGGCAGTCCTGCCGATCAGCAGACATTATTTGAAGATTGMTTTAGTCAACGCACTGGATGAAGAAAATTCATAATAGGCTAAATGACACACGACAGCACCTAACCAAAAAAAGCATGTAATCAATGGGTCAAGAATGTCAATTTATTTTTTTTATTTTTGCAATGTGAGATTACAAAGAGCTACCTCTATGACCATGCCAATTAACTACTCATTTCTTTTTACATGCCAGTTTCCATGGTATAATTCAGTACATAAAAAACTGGGGAAAATTAATGGTCTTTGACCACTTACAACAGAGAATGTAGAAACCTGTAGCAAAACAAAGTTTTTGAGGCCAACTGTTTGTTGTACAGTCATGTACAAATGAATGTACTGTCTATGTAGTGTACTGGTTAGTCTACCTTAGGTATAAATTACAGAATACRAATAGAGAAAAATCTCAAATGAACTGCCCTGTGCATACAGACACATGCAAAATTGTAGAGAAGACAAAACAAGAGTAATCACAAAAAAAAAAATTCTCMTTTAAAATAGTGTGAGATTTCTGCATCTATGGGATTATCCTCTCAAATTCAAGTTCATAGCTTTACAGCATATTCTGTCGATAACTCAGTGCAAAACAAGCAAGTGACTGTATCTGGCMCCCAGATGTTTCAGTTTGCATTTGATAAAGCGCCAGCCACCACACTTCAGGAGGGAGGGATCTSCCACACATGTTTGAGAGAGGGAAGTTCATCCCTTGCAGATAAGTTTAAATCCATGCTGCATCTGAGTATGGTCCAAGAAGAAGACAATGTAGAACTAAATAATTTTTTTGGGTAGTGTTGACACTATATGATGCAGAGGGAAAGCTGACATTGCCATGCTGAACCTGTCCAAATACTCAGCTTTTTGTTCATTAGGAGAGAACAAATCCTAGGTGCTTTAGTGTTCTAAGAGCACTGGTGAATCCAGTACTGGTGAGGGTAATAAAGTGTTTTGTTAGACCAGTATTAATATTACTCATTTCCTGAGCAGAAGAAGCAGGCAGAAAATCTGACTCAGTATGCTATACAGGATCTATGTTCAAAAGACAATTAGTMATAATCAATTGTGCATATGTGTGAGATTATTTTTAAGGCTGCTTCTCCGCATTTTTTTTTAATCTTTATAAAGAAGAGATGAGTAATAGTGAAGATTACTTGTTAGGTAAGCTTTAAGAGCACACACTTAGAGAAGTGATCTTTATTTCATATCAATTCATTTCTGTCTTTTCCTGTCTTGTTCAGCTRAAATACAACTTGAGAAACAAACTTGTGGCTGAAGACTATTTGTGTGGCTTTACTGTTGAAATATTACAACTCGCTCCACAGTGAAGCAAGTTTGTACAGTTTGAAGCGAGTTTGTACAGTTGAAACTCCACAGTTTCAGTTTTGTTTGTAATGGGAAATGCTGGTTATAACTGTATGTGAAAATGCTGTGTGGGCCCCTGTCCCAACCTTTTACAGGGCAACATTCTGCGCACTGAGAGAGTTCCCATGTAGTAGCTGGCAACAGCAGTGCACTGGAAAACAAATAATAATACTCTTTTCTGCAGTGTATGTCATCTGTGCTGGCTTTCCATGACCTACTGATATCCTTGTTCAAGAGCTAGTTGGCAAAACTGTGGGGCAGCCCAGATGAAAAACTTTCAGTTACAGAAAATGGGATGTAGGTAAAATGTAGATGCCTATGTTYAAAGGAGTGATTCTCTCAAATCCTCCCACCCTCCACAGTACCTCCATTTTGCCACTGAAACTGTAGAGCACCAGAAGTTTCTGCTTCTGTACATTGATAGAARTGTTTCACTGTCAAATATCCCTGATTTCTGTCAGGACACATTAACTAGATGATCTGCTGGTATGTTTTCCATGGGACTAAATCCTTGAGATATTGTAGATCACATCAGGTGCGCTGTTAATAACTTGCTGTACTCTTTGTGGTAGTAAGGTGCAGTATTACTCCAGGCAAAGCAGCTGCAGGCTTTGCTGCTACATTTGCCAAAGCCAGAGTAGTTGTGCTGTAGTACTACAATGCCAACAGAATGTAGCCTGCATGGCCTCAGCATTGAGACTGTTTCCAATGCTAAAAGTCAGGTGTCTGACTGGTTTTCTTCAACTTTGTCTACTGTCAGTATACGGGAATAACTAACTGGAAGAATGTGAACTGTAGATTAACCCAGCCAGACTGATAATCAGTCTAATAACCATTCCGATTCAGTGTTATATTTCTAATCATCCTGGGAGTGCTCTGTGGTCTTCCTCTATTAAGAGGTCATAAAAGGTATATAAATAGATTTGCATTGTCTTAGCGCAAGTTCTGCCTTATGGCACATCTAAACCGTTGTACCAAAGTTGTGTGATTGTTCCACCTACCCAAAATATTACATRTATACATTCTATATATTCTGTATATTATGCAGGAAGTATAAAGATGGCTGCATACCCATCTCAGAAGTTGGGAAATTATTTTATTTTAAATTAAATTTTCTTTTTTGGGAAGATTGACAACATACATTTTTATTAATCTGTTTTGGACATCCATTGCATTTGGGTAGGTTAACATTAGTGAAAAACTCTTTTGTTCATAACTTCTTGCARGATTAGAGATTTTTTAGTCATCTAAGCCTACRTTATGCCCATGGTGCTCCTTTATTACATATATTTTTTTGTGTTGCATGGCAGTTAATACTGGAGAAAACCTTTAACTGAGYTGATAACATATCAGTTTGTCAGAAATAAACCAGAATTATTTGGATGTTAGAGGCAGTTTTGTCAAGTAGGGACTTGTATTTAGCAGTCATTATCTAATGGACTAGGTCAGTCACAATTTTATTTAAATTTCACAAGGAYGGGCTGCATGTTCCCATGAAATCAAGCCTTACTCAGCAGAGTGTAGTACATAAAACAACCAAGTACATCCAGGTCAAATAAATGTACCTTTGGCAAGCTCCTTTTATTTAAATAATGTACTTTTGTTTTATTATTTGGGAGCAGTTAAGGTGATTTCTTCATATTTCATCTAATTGTCACATTAAATGGTTTGATATTGGTGAGTATATGTAAGCTCTGTCAGCAGGACTTAAATCCTGATGTAACTAAAATGTGTTTAGTAGGAGTGAGGCTGTATATCAGATTCAGCCTTAAGACTGTAGGTATTTAAGYTGATTTAGAGGAGTTAAGTATGTTTTTTGTATTTAAGCTCGAAGTTCTGAAGTTGTATGTAGACTGCAACAGTAGGCTTTAAATTCTCAGTTTTTCTTTGGCTTGCATTTTYATTTGATCAGAGTATGTGAAAAATCTGTGCAGCAGGGCATCTGTTAGATTCCTTTTTAGAAGTAAGTATGTTAAAAACCTTCGGTATAAGTTTATATTCGAAGCARTGCTCTTAGTATGCAAAATGTAGCTGGCAAGTATTTTTATGTGTGCCTGTTAGTTTGAATGCATGGTGCTGATCTGTTTTTTGTCCTAGCTGACGGTTATTATATCCTAATGGGTGCAACCCTGCACTAATGATCCTTATGTATATAAATTCTTCTTCTTGTGAGCAGACACCATAGGCAACATAAAAATGTTTGCCTCAATTTCCCTGCAAAAAAGGATCTCAGAAACCAGACTTGGCCAAGTAACAGATTTTTTAAAGGTAGAGGAACCCAATAAAATTACCAGCTTTTCACAGCATGGGTCTACTTCCCCTTGACATATTGTGAGGTGTAGGTGAAATATTCTAACTGAACTGACAGTGTAAGGAAGACAGCTAACTAGAAAGCAAGATGAAAGTAAAAACCACCAATGATGATTGATATTGTAATAGCTATTAATTGTTTTGGAGCCTCTTTTGTAGATTTATGATACTTCACCTATATTACTTACACTCATATAAGCCTTGACATAATGAGGTTTAATGCAGTTAAGTATCATGGCTAAATTCAGGAATGTATCAGGAAGAGCATTTTGGAAAACATATCAAGGTTTGTATTAATTTTGATAAAATTAATATACATATGATTAAAAATGGGTTTTGTTTTTCACAGAAAAATTAAAAAGCTTTTTTCCCCTTAAGCAAAAATGAAAATAATTACTTTCTTTGATCTAGTGTAATGGGTTTTTTTAAGCTGCCCCATTTAAGCTAATTTACACAACATACTGTGAATGTATTGCACATGACATATTCTAACAATAAGAAGAATACTAAGATACCTATGAATTTGGGGCTTTCTTCCAAAAATTCAAAATTAATGCTTCTTTTCAAAAAAATGGGTCAATGCTTCTTTTCAAAAAAATGGGTCAATCTTCATAAATTTACATGTTTTCATTTTAGTCTTCTGCAAATGCGTATGGCATTCACTTCAATCAGCTTGAATAAAAAAAAAAAAGGGCTAAGATATTAAAATATGTAAAGGAGGTTATGTGGATTTTGGCAGTACTTCTGTCTTACTAGGGATGTGTCTCTAAATGCATTGATGTCCTAAGATATCCAGCTGTATGGCTAGATTTTTAACTGCAGTTGTCTGCATGGACATTGCCAATAATAGCAGTACAGGTTGTATAGCAARTAAATCATTGGTACTTTTATACAATCATGTAATCTCTGCAAGAGAGACAATAACTCATATCAACGTCTCTTAAAAWTGATTATTATTAATTCTGCTAAAAATGTTTTAGCAGATTGTGTTTCGTTAAATCACAAACACTTTTGTTTTTTCATGTCACTTCAAAACAATACAGATTTGTTAGATCTGATGTGGTGTACGGAAACATGGAAAACATAATAGAGCATTAAAAACACTTTGTGTTCTGGGGTCTTTTTGGTGAGAAATATCAGGTTAAAATTTCAGCTAGGTGTGTTAATTTTTGATATTCTTGCCAAAGTGGGTTTTTTTATCAAACTACTTCCTGTCATCATAATAGTTCAGTACATAAAAATTTGACTTAATTTTGTGCTTTGCATTTCTTCCACAAGTTTAAATTGCCTCCATTAAGTTGCCTTTTCTAGATAATTCTAGACAAATAAATTTGTCCTTTTAAGTAGATTTCAGAATAWGCTAAAATAGGATAAAAGTTAAACCACAAGGGGAAGTTTCTGAACTCAGTATGCATATTGTTATTCTTAACAATTAAATATATTGGACTGTGAAACCAATTCCAAGAGATTTTCTAACCTCGTAGGTTCTTCTGAAATTTTTTGGATGATGTGGGAGATAGTACAAACCTTGGAACTGTCTTGCAGGAGATGAGAGAATCTCATAAATTCRAACCCAAACAAAGATTTTTGCCAATCCCGGTTGTTCAGGCTTTTGCATTTGATTACAATCTTAAGATTTTTTTGAATCTTTCCAGTATGACAAAAATGGTTGGAGATACTGCTTTTTTCACTGGTATTGTCTTCTGTATAATTCTTTACTTCTAACCAAGGTGTAATGTCAACAGATGGAATCATAATTGACAGGCAGAATTTTAAAGCATTCTAAATGTCACTGGACCTTTTAATAAAATTAATTAGCCTGCCACAGAGAAAATTTACTAGCCTGCTGGTTAATTTCACAATGTAAAAATCGTGGGGTAGGTGGTAGAGCAGGCGAAAGCTTATTACTTTCAAATAATTATTTAAAGATGTGTGCCTTTCCCCTTTCATGGATTGCAAAGGCAGCAAGAGCTTTTAAAATCTCAAAATTTATAAGCAGTCAAGGATCGTTTGAAGAAATATAATACAGTTAAAATTCAAAGTTATCAGATAGTAGCTAATGACAAGTCACTTGTTACGTGCTTGATTCTTTTGGGATTAATGTTTTCAGTAATATTTAAGCATAAGTCATGAGTTCAAAAATTGTGCCCAGTCCCATTAAAAATCTTGAGGAAAATCTGGTTTCAGAAAATTTAAACATCCAAAGTTACTTCCATTCCATTGTGCGTCTCTTAGCTCAGTGGAATTTAACATTAGAGTACATCAGAAGGCACCATGAAGCAATCCCACTTAGTTTTCAGATGATGACCAATTCAGTGCCTTAAATTGTAATGAGATTTGCAAATGTTGGAAGCACCTATGTCATATATTCCAAACGTAGTAATATTTGGAACTAAGATAGGAAACATTTTGAGACTTTTCATTTTGGTAAAGAGGCATAATTAATCTGTGAAGACTCTACTGCAAGTGTTTGTGTGATATTGAAAAGAATTTATCTGGAAATGGTAATATGGATAGTTTTCTATTGCATAAAGCTAATTTAAATGTAAGAGTGTTGAAGATAACTTAAAAACTGTAGCGCAGTCTTCTGTGCTGATGAATTTATAACTTGCAAACTTTGAAAATCTGTCTGCTTGTCTACTTASCAAGATTGCTAGCTCCTAGAAAAGCGTATCTCCCTGATTCCCCATGCACACTGGGAGACTTAAATACCCTAGGTCCCAGTTCGTTCCTATCCAGCCTTCTAAGCTAACATGAGATCTTTGCTGTTGTTCATTGTCTGGTATCAGTTGTTCTCATGTTCTCCTGCCTGGCCAGTGACAGAATCAGCTGAGTACTTACTTCGTCACATCTTTGACTGCTGAGTATATTGAAGAGAAAAAGTAGAGCTATATTCTACTGAGGCAGAGTTTATAGCATGTTCTTGCAGGAGTACTTTCATCTGATGTCAAAACAAAAATAAAACACTGAAAAAAAAAATATTAACTGGATACATATATGTCTTTTACCTAGGTTAAGAGCCCTTTAGTACATTTGTCAGGAAAAAAGAATTGAAGTCTTCCTTATGTTTTCCAGTGTCTAATTTGTATTTGTATTTTGTACAGCTATATTGTGTGTTGATGACTCCGTAGTAGATCTGGAAACACTGGAAGCTCTATATGAAAACGTAAGTAAAGATGGGATAAAAATGTGGTTAATCACCAAAGTATTTCAGGTTTTAGGCTGCTCAGGGGACTCGTAAGTAAGGTTCTCAGAAAATGCTTAATATGAAGGTTCTGSGGTCCACCAGTGCTGATTAKTTTTCAAACACCACCTCATGMAGGGCACAGGAGCAGGCAATTCCTAAATATCAGAATTTAAGCAGATTAAGCAGAAGGTTGGGTTGGCTGAGCTAGGTTCTTCATTTGGAACTAAGGCTAAAAAAGAAGGTGTATGCCCAGTGGAATCAATGTCAAGTGTTGCGGGAGGAATACAGAGAATACTGCTTGCCACTGCAGGAAGAAAATTTGTGYAGTCAAAGCTCAATTGGAGTTGAAGCTGGCCAGAACTGTGGAGGACAATAAAAAAAGGTTTTTAAAACATGTTAATAGCAAAAGGCAGTGTAAAARTAACATCAACCTGTTGCAGGATGAGGATGGTCACTTCACAGACAAGGGACATAGATAAGGAAGAGATGTTTAATGCTTTCTTTGCCTGTTTTTTCAACACTGTTGGTGGGCTGAGGGGCTCCCAGTGCCCTGAGCTGGATGCCCATGACTGTGAGAGTGATTAACKCCCAGTCAACCCTGGACTTGTGTGGGTTCTGTTGTTCCAACTGCATCCCTGTCTGTCTATGGGGCCTAATGGACTTCGTAAAAGAATATTCAAAGAGCTAGCTGATCTCATTGTGAGGCCTGCCTTGATTTTTGAATGCTCTTGGGAATCTGGAGAGGTGTTGGCTGGAAGCATTTGAACAGTGCTCTCAGGCACAGGGTGTGATTCTTGGGTTGTCCTGTGCAGGGCCAGGAGTTGGACTTGATGATCCTGATGGGTCCCTTTCAGCTCAGCATATTCTATAATTCTGTGACCAAAGGAAGCCAGTTAATGTGATCTTTTTGGATTTCAGTTAAGATGTTGATGCTGTTTCTCACAGTATCCTTTTGGATAAAATTTCCAGCACAGAGCTGGATAAACACATCCTGTGGTGGGTGAGCAACTGGTTCACAGGTCATGTGCAAATTGTTATAGTGAATGGGGTGACATCACTGGTAATCTGCCACTGGTGAGGTTCTGCAGGGCTCCATCCTCAGCTCTGTGCTCTTCAACATCTTCATTAATAACTTAGGTTGCAGAACTGGAATGTGCATTGGGTAAGTGTGATGAAGATGCTAAACTGGGAGGAGCCATTGACTCCCTTGAAGGCAGACAGGCCTTGACAAATCAGASGGCTGTGCAACCACTGACCACATGAAGTTTAAAAAAGACAAGTGACAGATTCTGCACCTGGGACAGGGCAACTCTGGTGAATGAAACACTGGAGAGAAGCTCTATGGAAAGGGACCTGGGGGTCCCTTTGAATATGAGCCAGAAAGTTGAATATGGGTGAGCAGTGCCCTGGCAGCCAGGAGGGCCAACCCTGTCCTGGGGTGCATCAGGCACAGCATCACCAACGGGGCAAGGSAGAGGATTGTCCTGCTCTGCTCTGGGCTGGGCTGGCCTCACCTCGAGTGCTGGGGGCAGTTCTGAGAGCCACAGTACAAGAAAGATCTATAAAGCATTAGAGACCATCCAAAGGAGAGCTRCAAAGATGGTGAGGGGTTTTGAGGGGAAAACATACAAGAGGCAGGTGAGGTCACTTGGCCTRTTCAGCCTGGAGGAGACTGWGGGGCAACCTCRTTGTCTGCAGCTTCCTCATCAAAGGGCTTTGGAGGGACAGGCACYGATCTTTTCTCTGCGGTGACCAGTGACAGGTGGGAATAGCATGAAGTTGTGTCAGGGGATAGATACATAGATTAGATAACAGGAAAAGGTTCTTCACCCAGAGGGTGGTTGGGCACAGGAACAGGGTCCCCAGAGAAGTGGTCACAGCACCAGCCTGACAGAATTCAAGAGGTATTTGGACAGTGCCCTTGGGCRCATGGTGTGACTCTTGGGGATGGTCCTGTGTAGTAAATGGCACATAAGGTGCTGGAGGAATTTATCATAGATCTTTAAGCATCGCTCTTTTGCATAGTCTAAATGTTTCTCAGTTCAAAAAAGATAATTGCTGCTTTCAGGCAAACAGCTAAAGTAGTAATTTATTAATTTCTTATTAATTAGCAACTAATTAGTTTATATTAATTCACTCAGAGAGCACAAAAGGATGAACTGGAGAAAATCAAGCAATATTATCAGAATTCAAAAGAGGAGGAGCTGAAACTTCTGGATAAACCAGAACAGTAAGATTATTMTTTTATATAATGTATTACTATATGATACAGTCCTTCGATGATATATTGAAAGCAATTTTGATTCATAATTCTTGGTAAGTAATTATAAGCTTTTTTAAAATAATAAACTTTCTTCATGTATTTCAAGGCATGATGAAAAATTTTATAAAACTTTTTTCAGACATGACAGATTTTACTACATCAACTTTGACCATGGGGACTGATAAAATATGTAGCCTTGAATCAGTAAGAATTTTCATTCCCATTCTCACATTTGTAAAAGACTTATCCTTCCCTTAAAGCATTTGTGGCTAAATTAATATTTCATAAAGCAGGGCCAGACTTACTTTGGTTGTTAATTATTTGAAAGAGCTGCATGAACAGAGAGGTGAGGTTGGTCCTGTGGCACAGACACATGGTACACTCTGGTCAAGTTGGCTGAATTCCACTGTTCCTCTCCTGCAGCTGTTATGGCACTGACAACTGTTAGGATGAAAAACTTAAGTGTTGCTTCTGCTGTTGTAATACACCTTAGACCGATGTGAAAGAATTCTTGAGAATTCGTAATCAGAATGGTAATCATTAATTTTATTTAGTGTGTACATTTGATTTCAGATTTTATGCTCTATATGGACCAGGGTTTTTTGTCCTCAGCTGCTTCATTGCTTTTTCCTTTTGTATTGTTTTCCTCTTCCAGTCTTCCTGCCCTGAGGCCTCTCTGTCGTCTTGTTTCCTTTTCCATCCTGTTTGTTTTTGTCTTTACTGCCATCTCTGGTGTAAGAAATGGTAGGGGGAGGAAGAACTGAAATAGCAGAGATAGTATATGATCGATTAATGTCAGAATTAATACATYTCATACCTTTTTTTCCCCATGAAAATGTTAGTGCTTAAGAACAGATTTTTCTTTTTCTGCTTACATAAGGCAGTTAAAAGCTCATTTCTGACTGCCCACTGAAGAACAGGTTAGTGTTGGGAGATGAGGGTGTTATCTTACTCTTGATTAAGAGAAGCTATTGTTCTTTAGGACAACAAGAAGACTTAAGAAGACAAGTATCTGTAAAGTGTATATATATATACTAGCTTATTTTTGCATCCCATATCCATGGCTTTCATTGCCTTGGCTTGGGGCGTAAGGGTACATTGTGTGACTAGCTGATGTTTTCCAGAACTTGAATCTTTGGCAGTCTGTTTGCTGTACGGCCAAGTTAAATAAATATGAATGCATTTTGTSTTCTGAAGAATACGAATCTTGTAGAGCTCTAGGGTTATGAAGTTGTCTTTTCTGTAACTTAYAGTGGAAAGAGGTTAATCTTAATTAAATGCAAGTTGGATTTATACTATCATTGTTCCATAATTAAAGGAAAGAACTGCAAATAAAGCAGTTGTGCCAGGTAGTTCAGAGTGAAATAGTAGTATCAAAGACAGAAGCTATTTTTTTATCAATTATTACTCCCTGCTCTCTCTGTAAGTCTTAAGTATCCCATTTTTACCCTGTTGTTAAACTACATAGGTTAAGAAAACTAGCTTAAGGGGAAAACTATTTTACTTTATGCACTTCTGTAAATTTTGTTGGACCTTCAGAATAATGTGAATGCTTTCTGAAAACTCAGTAGATCATGTGCCCCTGRCTTTGTTGTCTAAGTCAGCCTCTAAGTCAACCTAACTGCAGAAAGAGAGAAAAGGGCTGTATTTGTGTGTGGTTAAAATACTTGCTGTGGGGCATAAGCCTCATGTGTTGTTTTTAATGAAGATCAAAATAAAAATGTAAATGAAATAATTTGTCAAATGGTGTCACATACTAACAGTAGTCATTGATATATTGAAACCATTGATTGGTATTCATTGAAGTCTAAAGGAAACCTTCATGTGCTTGGATTGCCAGACAAATGCTTTAGTGGTATCACTGATGTTCTTCTGCACATGTGATTTTTATTTAGTCTTGCTGGTATGTTAAATTTGGCACAAACTGTAAGTATGACAGCAACATAACAATACCCCCCTAAATTATGCTTCATGATAATAGTTGTTAAAATGCTAATATCCATTATAATGAGAAAGATTTATATGCAAGACTGGCCAAAATCTGGGGCTTTGCTAGCAGGATAAAGATGCTGTAGCTGGTTTCCAAGAGACCCTTTTAGTTATAGTGTATTCTGTGTGTCATCTTCTCCTGTGAAATAAGTATGAATAAAGGAAATAGTAGCAAAATATGGTACTGATTTGAAAGTAGTTTCGGTAAGTAGGGAGCAATTTATATTTGCTGTCCCTGTCATGCCACTTGCTTCTCTTTGAAGACAGCTCTCCTTGGACTTGAGTTTAAATCCTCCTATTGTACTTAAAAGCTTGCCAGGTGACATACACCGTTTTCCCAAAAAATTGTTTCTAAATTRTATTTTTCAAATGCAGATAAATGTGATCTGAAAATTAATTAACCTCCATAGAATCAGCTCTCCTTGTCCATCCTCTGCAAGAATGTTCTCTTACACTAACATCTTAACAATGTGCCTGGCTTCAAATGTCTCTCGATTTCTTTAATCTCTCCAAGATTCTGGTAGGATAAAAGAGTTCTCAAGTAAATGCAGTTTTTTTTTTAGTTTTTGAGAGAGAGGAGTATGATGTACCTCACAGAGATGAGCAGCATATTTTCTATGTTTATTTTAGGCCATCAGAATTGTAGTAATGAGAAACCCATCCAAAAGCTATGTCACAGCCACATCATCATTACGTTTAGTTGAAATCATACTTTCCTCACTCTAAAATTGCTAAAATTACTGAAACAAGAATAYTCTTTTCTCTCCTAAAGTTTTGTACGTCTGAATTGGTAGTTTGTCTGTGTAAGCATGGTTTCATGCTATGACTTTTTATTTAGCTGCTACATTTTAAGTCGCTAAGATTCCTTTTTGTGACAGATTTAAGTTAAAAGTATTCTGTCTGGATATTTACTTTGGGTACTTTGAATTCCAAAATCTGGGGATATCTTCTTTTTATGCCAATGCTGTTTTAACTATCGGCACAGTTATGTTGAATTCTAGTAATCAGCCATGTGGGAAGTAGTTCTGTTTTCACAGGAAGACAAGCATATGTGTCATTTGACTTTTTACATTTAAACTTTTTAATTGTATGTATGTTAGAACTTTAATGAAGCAGTTTGGTTTTTCTTTCCTTTGTTTCTCTCACACAAAGTGCAAAATACCCTATTTTCTTTTCCTGGCAATACCACTCATTCGCAATAGGAAGCATTTTTATTAATACCAGCTTGGCATTTCTTTTTTCCCACTTCTGAAGTCTAAGAGCCAAGCTGGGCCTCCCTGGTCCTTCTCTCACAGTAAGTTTTTTCATCAGGCAAAGAAAGGAAAAGAAAGAAAGAGAATAAAATGGCATTCCAATTAAAACAGTATTTCACACTAGCCACAGGTGGATTTTGCTGATTTTTTCACCACCATTTTTTGCCACCGTGTACTCAGCAAACCCTAGCATGAGAAAGGTGTAAAGCAGATGTAAATATGCTGATGCTATTTATTTTCAAAAATAAATAATTTGGGAAAATCAGATGTAATGGCTTAAATGATTCAAATAAATACAAGAAGAATTCAAGCTAATAAATTGAATACCAAATCTCCCATAATTCAGTGAGGTAGAAAGATCTTAATGGCCTTGCATTAAGGGGAATCTAAGGATATCTGTAGACAGGAGATTGGAAGAATTGTGTCAGAGTGATACTGGAGCAAAGACATCTGAAATCTTAACAGAAAATTGTTGTTATTAAATATTGTATTGTAAAAAATGCCAAAGTCTCTTGTATTATTAGCCAAGTTCTTATATTTTAAATTGGTGAAGAGAAAAGGGAGGAATTACTCATCCTTTGGGATGCTTTCATTTTGTGTGATTTGAACTGGAGTTGTTGAATATGCCTCTATTTATATTTATTTACCAGAGGGTTAAAAGACAAAAAACTAGAGTAGAGTCATGAGGAATATGTACCTATGAGGACAGATATAGAGCAGATAAAGGGTTAGTAACTTTGCTGAGCAGTGACGGAAGGCAGTTACACTCCGCAAATATTTTAGAGCTAAATACAGGGCTACATGCATTCCCATTGATTGWAAGTGTGTAAAATAAATTAGTAAATTAGTAAAAGAATTTGGAAAATCAATGCTGAGAATCAGAAGAAATTTCTTGGTCGGGATTTTATATTATAAAATAAACTTATAGGAATATATTGAGTTCTGTGTTTCTGGGCACATTTTTAAGGGAAAGAAGCTGTAACTAAATAGGTAGTCCTRTCTAGGTTTTCAGGTTTCTTTAAACGAATGATATAGGTTTGAGATTTTTCTATTTATTACTGTGAAGCTAYGATAGTCAGTGAATTGATATGATAATCATTAATGTCTTGCATTTTGCWTGACATTAAGATGATTTTTAATGCATTGTTAGCATAAAGAATATGACAGTTATAAATTCTTTCAGATTTGATTTACAGTTGGAAAGATTGCTTGTATATTTCATGATACYGTAGGCTTTGATCCATTATGTACCCCACAGAGAATAATCATAAGGATTCATTAATAATCCTTTTTTCCCCACAGATTTTTATATGAGTTATCTCAAATCCCCAACTTCGCAGAACGAGCTCAGTGTATTATCTTCCAGACAGTTTTCTCTGAAGGGATAACATCAGTGCACCGGAAAGTAGATATCATAACTCGTGTTTCCAAKGTAAGTCCTAATGAAAGCTTAATTAAAATTTAAATATATTTTAGAGTATTTATGCTTCATTTTTACTACAAGTCAGGAGCCTTAATCCTGCTTACTGGCTTTTTTAGGAAAACAAAATGTTAGTAAATTTTCAGCTGCTTAAAAGAAGAAAAGGAAGAATGAAAAGGGAAGGTGATGCCATGTGGAGTACACAGAAATATATTTTTATTTAAATGGTACATTTTTATTACTTTGGATATTAGTAGTGTAATAGATGATCTCCGTAAACTAGAAATTAAATATAAAACAAACTTGGTACAGGGCCTTGCAAACTTTCTTTTTTTCATACCACTGTTGATGCCAATAGGTGTTTGTCATGTTCATTATCTTATTACTTTCCCTTGGCATCTTCTAATTTTGGTAAGTTTTACCCAGTAGTTCTGTACTATGGAAGACTAAGGACAAGGTTTTTAAATTATAACAAATAAATTATGAAAAGTAGAAGGGGGTAAAAATTAAGAGACAGCTTAAATGGTGGCCTAAAGGTCTAACATCCTAACCACAGAAAAGTAGTTAATTTTAATATTTTTTCTAATTTGAAGATTAGCTTTTCATTAGGTTTGCTTTCACAGCGTACCCATGCTGTACCCCTCTGGATTTCTTCACAACAGAAAGAGATTCATGTTTTTTTCCTTTTCCAAAGGAAGCATAAATAAGGAATCAGTGCTGTATGAGATAGGGAAAGTCATATTGCCTTCAGCTGGCTTATGAGGAGTTCACCCTGAAACTGATCTACCCAGTGTGTAAGGCTACATAGTTAAGAATGGCACCTGTCGCCTCAGATTCTCAACTTCAACTGTTGTCTTATAAGTAATTGAAAATACTAGTTCTACACTGTGTTTCTAGAACTGTTTTCTGTTCTGAKGCATGTAATTAATTAGTCTTTAGCCCTGTTATATCTGGATTAAGTGTGGATCCAGGAATGTGAATTTTCATTCTCATGAGAAGCAGACAATGACAGTATGAGTTTAACCCAGTGGCAGCAAAAATAGCCCTTCTCCATTTGACTGTGCTTTATGCAAACTCATGATAAACCACCTTCTTAAGATTTTTGAAATCTTCTGAGAATCTTTTTGTCACTGACATAGTATTTGATAACATATAATTTGCTTCATAGGGATTACGTTAAACGTACTCTCTTAGGGACATACAGTCTAAAAAATATTTCCCTTCAAGTTTTGAGTTTCAGCTTCCCTTTCATACCAAGGTAAAACAGACAAGAAAAAACTGTAGCAAAAATAAAATGGAAAAAAATAGCTATTTTATATTAGCAATTGGAACTTTCATGCCAGAATTTATTGACCAGTATCTATTTTCCAGGCTTTGCTGAGCATGACAAGTGTAAAGGAAATTTTAGGTTTGATTCTGGCTTTTGGAAATTACATGAACGGAGGAAATAGGACCAGAGGTCAAGCTGATGGATTTGGTTTGGAAATACTCCCCAAACTAAAAGATGTCAAAAGCAGAGTAAGTACTAATGTTTAGCTAAAGATAATTTTTCTGTAATAATTTTTTTTTGTTCCTTCATCTGTTAGAAGTGAATGTTTTATTACTTGCTATTCTTGTTTGGGAAGGCAAGGCACTTTGTACAACTTTCATGCTTTTTTTCTCCCAGCTTTTCACCTCCTTCTCCTGCATATGTGTATGTTTCCATAATCTCTKATTTCTCCTGTTCAGTACTACTAGGATAATTACCTTATGTGAGAACTTCTGTATGTCTTTTGTTAGCAGGGACTTAATAACAGTAGGGTAAGAGAAGTGAGAGAGCGCAGACTGCTCAAGTCTTCTCCAGTAAATGTCCCCATTCTTTTTTCTTGCTCTTAAATGAAGGTAGCTCTCTGTGAATAAAGTTTTTTTAAAAATCAGGTTTAAAAAGAAAATATTGGTAAAGGTTCAGTGTAGCATATACAGTAAGAAATTATATATAAAGGATCAAAGAGATRTCATACCAAACAAGATACTTTCAAGCTTTTTTTTTAATTGTCAGTTAAATGGATGTAGAACATGAATTTTGAGCGGCATTCACAGGAAAGTGCTCATAGATGGCAGTAAATTAATTCATCAAAAATTGAGAAGCGCTAGCTGGTTTTTGATTAGTCATGCTAGGATCAAAGTCAGGCTCAAAGGCTACACACCTCCTGAGATGAGGTCGCTTTGTTTCTTATTTCAGTAGGGCAGAGGAGGAGGTGTTAGGTAATGTGGGTGATGGAAACACTGCTCAAAGTCATTCTTTGCCAAGACATACCTAGACCCTACATGGATATAGGAAGCCGCAAATAATAGGAGACAATTTTCTGCTGATTTTGGTATAGACTTGGAGTGTGAGAAAAAAAATATTTCATGCTCTTCCACTTTCCTTATGTGAAGTGTTTTTTGATTACAAGAGATAACAGATTTTAAGCTTTTGCTCCCCGTTTTGCTTCATGTATGTAGGAATGCATTTGTGAGACAGGCAATGTTGGGAAAGCAGTGTGTCTATGGACCATTTTGCTATACTTGTGTACATCATCATTAGTAAAGTGTAGAAACACATTMATTGAATTGTTCAGTAGACAACTGTTTAAATGAAACCTTTTTCCAAAGGATTTGAATTCTTTGTCTCCTAAGGATATTGARATGCTAGAGCAAGTCCAAAACTGATAGTCTGGGGCACAAGTCTGATGAGGAGCAGCTGAGGGAGCTGGGGTAGTTTAGCTTGGGGAAAAGGAGGCTCAATGCACATCTTACCACTCTACACAACTGCCTGAAAGGAGGCTGTAACCAGGCAGGCGTTGGTGTCTTCTCCCAAGTAACAGGCAATAGGATGAGCAGAAACAGCCTCAAGTTGTTTCAAAGAAAGTTTAGCTTGGATATAAGGAAAAMTTTCTTCACTGAAAGGGTTATGAGGCATTGGAACTGGCTGCCCAGAAAGGTGGTGGAATCAACATCCCTGAAGGTGGCACTTAGGAWTATATTTTAGGGGTGGATTTTGCAGTGCTGGATTTACAGCTGGACTCAATGATCCTAAAGGTATTTTCCAACCTAAATGGTTCTGTGATTCTAATTCTTATTTTTGTCTTCACTGTGATGGTTCATCTGTTCCATATGACCATTTTTTTTCCAGTCCTTCTGCATGGACAAGACACAGCTTAAGCTGCAAACAGCAGCTTAACCAGAACCAGGCTAAGTTTCCCATTACTCAGGTGTTTGTTGGCTGGCTAACTGCCTTGAAGAAGAATGTAAAACTCAGCTTTGCCTGACTTTCCTCAGTAAAAGTACTAGGTTTARTCTCTCTTCCATCTACTTATAAACTTCATAGAATTTAATAATCTCTGGGACTTTCCAATGTGGCTGAATTAACAAGAATGTTCCAAAATGATGCAGTATTAACAGTGAGTGACTGATAAAAGTATAACTGCCTAAGACTTGTTCCTTAGCAAAACAAGCTAAAAAATTACATTATTTACAGTTTCCTGGTAGCCAGAAYATTATTAGTTTAGACTAGTCTTCAAAATGTATAAAAACTGAAAGGGTTCACTTGCTACAGGCAGACATGAAACCTTGAAGATACTTGGTAGACTGTATTTGCAAAGGAGAARAACGCAGGGTTTTGTACATTGGAACGTTGAGGTATTGTTCTCTGTCCCATTACTCCTTTGTTGTGAATTGCCAGCAAGCATGTCTAAGTAAGTGAATTCCATGAGCCTAGGTAAAGAGCCAATGCTAAGTGTCTCTTACTTCACATAAAGGTCATTTATTGTCACATCAGCTTAGTAACTTTATTCTATAGAGATTTTTTGAYCTGCCAGTAATGGCTTCTAAAACTCGTATACACACAGGGTGGTTTCTTCTGCATGACAGCAGTGACTTAGTTAAGAATTTTGCTGGTGTATGATACTAATAAAATATAATGTGCTGCAGACTCTCATATAGACAAGGCAGCTCTGTACAGGAAGTCAGACATTGTTCACTTATAAATGTTTGTCCTGATACCTGTCAATATAAAATATGCAAACACATCCAAAAAACTTCAAAGGCATTCCAGATATAATTCCCTATATCATGGTTCTTTTGTATTGCTGAATGTAATGTATAACTTTTCCTTAGTTCGTCTGGCCCATGCTGACCCAATGACATGTAGCAAAATAAAATATTATGTACAGTTGTGTGCAGGAACATAAAAATGGTGATGCCATAAAGTGAGAATTAAAATCATATTTTAATTTTCAGGGCATGAAATATACTTCTTAATAGCATACTGTCTGATTTTGTATTTGAAATAAAATATGTGAATGTCTATGCCTTTTTTAGATCTCCCTTACAGATGATTGAGAAAATAGAAATCAAGAAATTCTGTTCACCTTAATGTATGAGAGGTGACTGTAATATTTAGTTGACATTATGTTTTATAGTAATGTTATTGAATAATAATTATTTCMGTTACTACTATTCAGTAGTAAATAGTATCTATTTATTAAATAAAATGTGAGGACAGCTTCTCCCATGGAATCTTTCTCTGCATATATTTTTGCCTGGTATTTAAAACCAAAAGAAACTCTAGATCTAGTAGCAGTATGATGAAGCCAGTGTTATAAAAGATCAGTTTTTTTTGGTCAGTAATGGTAAGGCTAGAAAATGTTGTGAATCCTGTTTCTCACAGCAATATAAAATAATAATTGATTTAATTTGAAATACAGTGCATTTTCGCTTACTTGAATCACACATTTTTAATTTTTCCTAGGATAGTGGAATTAATCTTGTGGATTATGTCGTCATATATTACCTGCGCCATTGTGATAAGGTAAAGGATTGACTTGCTCTATCAGCCTCTCCTAAAGTGGGTTTGTAATAGCTTCATAAAAATCTGAACATAGTACCTCTGATGGGAAAATAAAATGCATTTCTTCTGCTTTCTGACAACGGTTATGTACCTCAGTAGGCATGAAATTTGCTGTAAGTTTTAAGATTTTTGAAAATTTTGCATAGGTTATTTGTGTGAACCACTGCAGGCMGTTAGCTGTGACCATTGCAGACTGGACAGGTGGTCACACCAGCTCTGTCTTACTACATCTGTGTTGCTGTAACATTTAAAAATTTCTTCTGATATMATTGTATTTGAAAGCAGAAGCATGATTTCTCTCTTAGAACAAAGGTTAGTATTTTAAGATAGGTGAGTCAGCTGATGGGGATGAAGTTAGGGGTTGAAATGCGTATGATACTCCTCCATATATGCATTTATACATATTATATATATTCATATATTAAATAAAGGTATTTTTGGTATCTGCAATAGCCAGACTTACTGAGTGGAAAATTTGAACTATTGCATTTTAAATGAAAATATCTCTATTAATTGATTTTAAGAAGTGATAGCTTTTTTTTCTTCCTTTTTTTTAAATTCTTGCGTAAGATTGTTGAATTGATGACCTAGTAGTCCTGAGATATGTAGATCTGTATCAGTTTCCTTTCTTTAGGGTTTTTGAGTTTGTTTCTTTTTTCTTGTGTTTTCTGTTGTTGGTTTTGTTGGTTTGAGGTTTTTTGGGGGGTTGTGATTTTTTCGCTTTCTAATTAATTTATTTAAATATTTCTGCAAACTTTCTACTATACTGTAATTTTACTTAAGAAGATTTTGTAAAACAAAAAAGTRTATCTTCCTTGGGAGGAAATAAACACATTGTAATTATCAGCCATTGCACTTCCTCCACCAAAATGTTCAAATCTTTATAAAAAGATTTTTTTTTCCCCATTCACAAAACAATTATTGCTCAAACTGTGAGTTTTCCTTTATTACAGACTGAAATCCATGCAGGTATATGCATATTGTAAACTCAGTAGTATATGCTTATACACAGCAATGCCATATTTTAATACCATTTATACATACTTTACTTGTTAAAATTCCACTGGAGATATTGCTTTGAACCTTGTAAACATTTTTTGATGGTTGGGTTTTGGTTTGGTTTTGTTTARTTTTGTTTTGTTTGGTGTTATTTGTTTTACTTCTGATTCTTTTTTCTTAAGATGCTCAAATAAAGTCCTAAAAATAAGGTATATACTTAGGAGTTCCATAGAGGCTTTAACCCCTGTGATTTATTTAGCCACATAAGCCTTCAACTGTGTATTTTTATCTGTGTAAACTGCTTCAGAAAATATATGAATAGGAATTTATGCTTATAAAGTGTGTGTATTTTTAATGGATTGTGAAAGAGTGAAACCACAAACTTTTGGCATAAAATCACTTTCTTCCATTAAAATGGCTATTCCTGTTATCTTTTTTTGAGAAACTTCTAATCCCTTATCTGAATCTTTATTGACACAAAATTAACTGTAATGATGTAAGTTTAATGTTGTTTCAAAGTTGAAATTGAGCACAGTTTGCTTTACAACATCTAAAAGGAAGTTTCAATACTCAGAATGGTCAGTATAAAATCTTAAATGAGATAGATGTTGTTTTAGCAAGAATGATTTAAAATATGTTATTTTTTTAATTTTATAACACTGTTTCATACATTAGAGGTTTTTTTAAGAAGCAATTTATTTCACTGGAAATGCTTTCAATTTTCATAGTGGCCTGTTTATTTGTTTGTTTGTTTAGGAAGCAGGAACAGACAAGAGTATTTTTCCTTTACCAGAACCACAGGATTTTTTCCAGGCCTCCCAGGTTAAATTTGAAGACCTAATAAAAGACTTAAGGAAACTGAAGAGAGATCTAGAAGGTAACTGGGAACTTTCACATTTGTTCAACTAACAACAAAGTGCCATTTAAAATGTGATCTTTATGAGGTTTTCTTATTGCTAATTAGGTTTATAGTGTTGATTCATTTAGGGTTTTTACACTGTGGCACAAATTACTCACATAAATTAGAAAGAAAAAAAAATTTAACTCATGACTTAATAAAAATGAAAGTAGAGAGACTGAAAAGTAGTTTTCCCTTTTACAATCGAAAGGCCCCTTAAGAAACCTTTCTGAATAYTTTTTTAGTTATGTGTGAATTTTCTTCTGGCTTCTCCAGAGCTATGTGTTTAACTGTAGATATCTGTTAGCTCCATAACATAAATACTTTCTTCGGTACTTGTATAACAACAATTTAAAAGCTACAAGAAAGAGTTGAATACTATTAATGGAGAAATAAAACACAGCTTGCCAAGGCAGAGCAAAGGGAAATGGAAGGCTCCAGTTCAAAATATTTTCACCCTGGGACATAAAATAAACATTTTAAAATGTTTATTATAAAGAGGGGCTCAGAAACCCAACTCATCTATCAATCAAGGTACTGAGTGGAAATAAAATAGSAAGGGTTGTTCTCTTAAGTATTCCAAGCAGTTTCCCTTTTATTTTGTGCTACATTCAACTTTCTAAAACAAATTCTGCAAATGATGATTGAATATTTTAAGCCTTTTTCTTGTTACAGAAAAGTTTGTACTTTACTAAGGCGGTTCAATGTMGAAAATGGAGTTTAGAAAGAGAATCTGCATAAAAACCTGTAAAAACTTTTACATTTAGATTTGCCTCTTTGCACCAGAATGGAAGTCCTTTTGTAATCAGAACTGAACAAGATGATTGTTTTCAAATTTTTTCAATGTAAGGTGCTGAAAAGCGTTACAAAATAGGTTATCCTTACAGCTAGAAATTGCTGGACTAGGTCACTGCCATCCTTAGGATAATTTCAAAGGTTAATAGTGGTAGGAAAGTATCAGTTGTTGTTTGTTCGACCCGGGCACAAGTGAGTGCTCTATCTCCTCTCATCGCTTGGCCCTGTAAGCCCCTTGGCCTGCCCTCTTTTGGGSTAGTTTTTGCAGAAACATGATCTGTGTTTGATCTTGTACTTTTTCAGCATGTAGTCTTGCTGACATTCATCTTAGTCGTGCAGGATCTGCATTGAGGCTGTGACAGTCACATCATATTTGTTCTACATTGCAAAGACACAGAGAGTAGGAAGAGCTGAACTCTAATTTTTAAACTGCAGCTTTCTTGTAATCATTGATTTCTGTTTTCTAAACTAAATTTTTGTAGGTATTAGTAGCAAATCTAGAAAAATCGTTATGTTGAGGCTCTTCTCATAATTCTTTGTAAAGGTGTATGTTAAACCCAGACAAAGCAATTAACATATAAAGTTAACGACAGCAAGTATTTGAAACCAAGAAGGTTGTGGAAATGTTTTCCGATGTTGGTATTTTATCACTTAGAAATATTCAACAGACTCTAACAAAGTTGCTGTGATTATTTCTCTTACATTGAAACAAAGAAACAATCACGTAAGAATTTATCTCTTTCAAAGATTCCCTTTCAAATTTTTTCTTTTGGTTAATGCTCTAGTTAATTTTTAAATCAAAATTTTAATTGAAGAGGTTATAATTTTAACACGTACAACAAAGATTTGATGAGTCTCTGTAGTTTATTGTAGCCATTAAAAAGTTGTGGCTGCTGGCAGAATACCAGTGAAAGTCTAAAGCTGAAACAGATGTGAGTAGCAGAAACCAAGTCCAGAGRAGCGTTGGGCCCAGCTATCCAGACAGGCGCGGCCCTTCAGATGTAAATAATTTGAACAATATTAACTGGGGCTGCCTGTGTTATAGGGTACGTTGGATTTATTTCACAGTTTGTTGGCTGAGGTAGTCTCAAGCAGATTACCTTGGAAGTGGGATGAGACAAAGTTAATAAATGAAAGAGGAATTTTCTTGTGTGTCTTTAGGGAATGAACTAATGTTCCTGTAAGTGACTTAACCTTGTTTCTGAGATTTGTAAGGAATGATTAATAAAAAAGAAGTGTGTCACTTCTTGCAACTGAAATGTCAATTTTGATAGTTACTTTTCATAGTAGTTGTCAGTTAGTATTTAAAAATACATTTGACCAGCTTATCAAGGCATTAATTTATGTTTCTAACATGGATATTAACATAGGAAAGATGGAGTTATCACGAGTGGCTTGTCTAAATGGTGTAAACCTCTGGTTTGAAATACCTAGACACTGTGGAATTGAAAGTTCAAATCTGGATGGAGCACTAACCCTTTCATCCTTTTCAGATAAACAGATTGAATTCCATACAATTTGCTATTTTTAAATCTTTCAGATTAGGCTTTAAAGGTGGAGACTAATTTTATTCTGAAAGGATTAGATTGAAGTTAGACTCAGGAATTGAAAAAAAATGTTTAGGGAACTTTAATATTACCGGTTTTTAAAACATATTCCAGAACAAACTTTTTAATCATGAGCATTTTATGTTAAAAAGAATGAGAAATAAAAATATGTATTTAATGTGGGGTTTTAAAGGGAAAGAACTGAATATTAAATGGTGAGATGAAAATTTTTGAGGGAAGTCWGGTTCCATTCTAGCATCCCACTAGAAAGAAGTTTCTGTAAACTAAGGTTTTCACTCCAGGTCTGTTGGTGTATTTCCAAGGTTTTCAAATATTACACCATATCATATGCAGATACATATATTGATTTAACACATGCTAGCTTTCCATTTAATCTTCGTAGTTATGGAAAGAAAAGGTTTTGCTTTGCTTAAGATTGTAAGGATCTTATTCCTTGTCTAGGGCAATGAATGATTTCCATGTTTCCTTTCCCTGTGACCAAACATGATTTACCTTCTAATTTGCCCAATGCTGCTTGGTGTTCTTGAAATCCATATTCTTCTGGAATAAGCACAGGATATTTGAAATGTGTAATCATAAGATTTTCAGAAAGAAAGCCATTTAACCAAAGTTTGATAGACTGGTATAAGTTTTACCATTTACTTTTACTAATCTATGTCCAAAGTTGAACAACTTTAATTAAATCAAAATTAGTTGCACTGAAGATTGTTTCCATCTGTCATACTCATTCTTCTTTTTTGCAATACAGTAAATAAAATTTTAAAACTACTCTGCTCTTTTACTCAAAAGAAACAATATTAGATGCCTCATATAATTTACTGTGATGTACATTATAACTTTCTTGTATTCTTGCCCTTAACAAATGAAAGACCAAAGATATTGATTGAATTGTTCAAAATAGAAACCAAGGTGGGTCCACTCTAAGTATTTYCAAGAGTCACACTTCCGTTTCTCATAATTAAATTTCCTATAAGATGGTAACATTCTGATTCCACTGAAGGTCCATGGTCACCAGTAGAAAAATTGGTTACAATTTTCTTACTAGATTTTCAGCACTGTATATATGTATTGCATTTTTMTGAACTTAAAACTGTGTGTGTGAGTATATATGTAGGTGTTTGCACACACATGCATGACAGAAAGAAAACAATCTAAAATAAAAAGAAGACTTTAGGGATCTGCTATACAATAGTCAGAGACAGAAACCATGGTTTCATGTTGGGCACCTCTTAACCTAATTGCTGACAGATCTGTATCTTGCATAAGTATGTAACCCCCAATCTTTCCCCTATTTAAATAGGAGACTTTCATCAAAACTTGAGTTTATGACAACCCCATTTTGTAATATTGCATAATCTTTATGAAAAGATTAAAAGGGAAGTAGGTAAATCTGTGCATGAGAAGTTGAGAAATTACACTGTTGTGTTAGCCATGTATCCCATTCTATTGCAAAGCATGAAAGAGAATTTAGGAATAAGAATTGGATGAAAGTTCAAAAGGATCACTCATTCTTGAGGCTTTCAGCAACTGTTGCTATAAAGAGTCAAGGAGGATGACAATCAGTTCCTGCAGACTAAAAATGTGGTTTTCCAAATTTAAAGTATTGAAAAACATCTGGATTTATCAAGGATTCTAAGGGAATATGTTTATCARTAGGAAAACATAATCAGTATTATTCACAAGAAGTTAATTTAAAATTGTTAAATGTTTTTTCCCGTCTGTGTTGACAAGCTGAGTGTCAAAAGGGTTTTGCAACAAAATGTCCCATAATTAACTACGGACTGGTTTTGTTCCAGAGATTGATTGATGTTTTTAATTAATACATTGAGGTAATTTTCAGCTTCCGTTGGATTTCTTTGTATGCACATATGGAGAAATTATTTTGGTGTGTTATCATTTATTCAGGTGGAATTATATATTTAGTTCATATATAATCCAGCCTTTGGTAAAGTTCAATCTGTGGACTAGAGTTTTTGTATATTTATGGTACAGTAATAATCAATAACATATGGATTACAATGTTCAGGGGTTTTGTCTGTTTTTTGATTTGCTTGATAGTAAGAATACTGGATCACATCATGAAAATTCTAAGTGTGAGATCAGGTTTGAGTATTAAATTTCTAAATAATTTGTAGGATCAATAGCTATTTCTCAGTAAAAGAGGATTGCTTATTCATTTACAGAAGGGTAGTACTCAAAAAGTATCAAACTTGCTTTTCTAACATATTTTCAACCAACTGAAACCTTAGTCTAATTTAAATTAAATGTTTTAAGTCAATTTAAAAGAGGGGCTTAAATGTCTTGACTAACATACATATGATAAAATCTTCCCAGAAGGAGCAGAGAAGTTGTGTGATAATTTACTGAGCCTACATACTTTCATTTTCTTCACATTAGTTATATACTCTTTATGATTTTGGAAGTGCAAGCAATTGAAATTTGAACTGGGTGGTAGAACATGAAGAGCCAATAGATGCATGTCTTATTTCTTTAGGTAATAGCAAAAAAGAAGCGTGTTGTTTTGTATTTTGCACAGTCCAATATTTATATTATCTATTTTGAGGCAGAGCAAAATGGTGTAAGGAAAAGAGCAAAGGATGACTTTGTATAGGAAAA